CGCAGGTGTCAGGAAGACAAGTGCCTGAGCCTGTCTCTCATCTTTCAGATAGTTGAATTCACTAGCTGATTTCTAGATGACTTAGGCTATTCTGTTTAAAGTCTTCAAAGGGTTCTCCCCACCTCCTTCCCCTGCCAACTTTTCATGCCAGATTCTTGAAGCCCCTGCTGATTATGTTTCTGGTATTCTGGATTTATTTTCACATCTCGGATTATATGAGAATAGCTTTGTGAACTTTAAGTGAAAATAGATTGTTCAGATGAAAAGTATGTTGGCAGAGGTTTGGGACAGCTCTAGAGATTGGATATGTTTGCTTTGGTCTTGAGGGTGATCACTGAGTCATACTTGGTGGGTCCTCTGTCCCCTGGCTAATCTCTGTTAAAACCCTACAGTTTGCCAGGCATGTGATACATAAAAGGCAAAGTAGGCCTCAGCTCAAAGGGCATTTGTTTATTTAAAGAAGAAAAAAGAAATTCAAACATCCCTACTGTGTTATATCTAATTTAGTCATGCTACGAGTTCATGGGCTCTTTTGATTCTTTCTAGTGCCCATGATGCCTAAAGATAACAAATAAATTTGAAATAGTTGAACTTCTGAGAAAACTTGAAACTTTATAACCACAATAGAAATACTTAAAAAACAAACAAACAGGAGAAAGCTAGTGTCATTTCTACTAGGAGTTGTCCTGATGGAGCCTCAGTTGATTAAAGCTCCTCACTGCTCCTGTGTGGAGGAGCTATGATGCAGATGATTTAGAAACAGAACACTAAGAAAAGCAGTGTGGGACATACAGCTTCATTAATTGTTTGAAGTTGGCAGCATAAGAATCTTAAAAATATTTTTTACTATTTTTTATTTTATGTGTATAATGCCTTGGCATGTGTATGTGTGCACTGCATGCATGTGTATGTGTGCATTGCATGCATGTGTATGTATACACGATCCATGCGTGTGTGCACTGCATGCATGTGCGTGTGTATGTATGCAGTGTGTGTGTGTATGTATGTATGCACTGTATGCATGTGTATGTATGCACTGGATGTATGCCTGCTGCTCCATGATACCAGAAGAGGGTGTTGGATCCTTGGACTGTAATTATTCATAGTTGTGAGTTTATGTGCTGGGAATCAGACCAGGCTCCTCTGGAAGAGCAGCAGTAGCCTTAACTGCCGAGCATCTCTCCAGCCCTAAGTATCTTTTTTAAAGTGACAGTATGGACTGTAGATGTTTAGACACAAAACTCTGAAGACTGATGATGGTATGTTTGGAAATCAGCTCATCTAAAATGAGTAACTTATTTTTTTTAAAATATTCTCTACCAGATAACAAGAAAGAAGTATTTACTGGGGGGGGGGGGTACTTTCCCAGACAGGCAGCTATCTTTGATGAGATGTCTTATAAAAACCAGACTCTAAAGGAAGAGGAGAAATAAGCTGGGGGGGGGGGGGTTGTTTGCACAGAGAAAATGAGTTAGACAGCTTTGAAGTAGGACCATGGCATAATGTGTTTCTGGAGATCACAGCGGCCATTGCAGCTCAAGAATAGGAGCAGAGACAGGCGAGTGGTAAGCAGTCAGGGAGGTGGGAAAGACCCTTTGTAAAGGTTTGGTATTTAGTAAGAGTATTTCCTTGAAGGGTTTAAGAGAAGGATGATATGCTTTGACCTTCTTTTGAGAACAGTTAATCTCACTGACTCTTGAAGTAAGCAAGGAAGAGGTGGGAACGCTGACTGACCCACTGCAATGACAGAGCCATGGAGTAAACATGGCGTGGGTCATGTGATGAGTGTGTTATAGAAGTTGATGCAGCTGAGGGTTAGAGTTGGTGGTTCAGGCTTTGTGAGATTCTGGGGTTGGTTCTCCAGAACGTCAACACAATGTCTGCCTGTCTGTCTGTCTGTCTGTCTGTCTTTTGCATTGACTGCTTTATATGAAATTTATGGGTAAGCAGCTTCTAAAAGTGGCCATGAATTTTATGTACTTAATGTTCCACTAGTGGTGGTTATTATATTGTGGTGTGTGGTGGAATAATAATTGCTTTAAGGCTTTTTTAAGGGGAAAGACCAAGTAAGAGATATTTATGAAATGAATCATGAGTTTATGGATACTCTAAATTTTATATAATTATTGAGTTTTTACTTCTGTGATTTTTATTTGAATCCTAATGAGAAATATTACCTATTTGTCAGTATTTGTAACAAGACTACTCAATGTTGTTAAACTTTTTTTTTAAATACATGTAATTATTTCTTAGTGTGGAGGGAGTAAGGCTGGGTGACTGTGGCAGGATGCACATGTGGTGGTCAGAGAACAAACTTGGTTCTCTTTCCACCATATTCTTTCTGGGCATTGAACTCAGACCATCAGAGTTGTTGGCAAATGCCTTTACATGTTAAAACGTTTCTCTGGCCCCAAGTTTAAGAGTTTTTGAGACAAAGAAGCTATAGCCCTGAAACTTGAATAGCATGTCTACCTAAACAAAACCTGAACAAACATTGGCAGGGAGAAATCTCACAGGCCCCGCCCCTACACAGAGTACTGGCAATTAACAGCAGCTCAGCTAGGGAGACTTAGTCTTTTCAAGGAAGAACACCCTGATAGGTTATACCAAGTGGTGGTGCATAACAGTTTCCTTAGAGATTGAAACATTTCACTCTATAGGGAAACCTCCTTAAGCAGGATGGTAAACAACTCAAAAATAAACCCAGAAAGTCCCTGAAACTGACTAGGTTCATTAGGCCACTTTTTGCTAGAGTGAGCAATAAAAGCTGAAAGTCCCTCTCAGAGAAACAAAGATAAGCTACAAAAGGCCACTGAGAGCAGACCAGCTGCCCGGGAGCAGCAGAAACTAGCTGAACTGGCTGGAAGAGGTTTGGATCAAAGTCCCTGGGAAAGGACACTCTCCAACCTGTTGAGCCGCCCCCAGGCTCAGCAGTGTGCTCCAGGTTGCCAGGTTTGTGAGCCAGGAGCTGCTTCTGCTCCTGTCAGTAACTCTTCACTGTACTCCTGTAAACAACTGCTCTAAAACTCATGGTCCACAACGTTGGACTTTGGTGGTACCCATACTTTGGCTGGTTTTGGCTCCCAGTCTGGAGTGAGTATTGTGTGTAGTGTCTTCCCAAGGAAAGTTTTGTCACACAGTGATGAATCCTAAAGCCACATCCATGCAAGCAACATTAAATGGGCACATGCACAGGGAACAATAACAAGGAGTAAAAGGACTTTCTGAGGCACACACACACACACACACACACACACACACACACCGTCGTGAGTGTATTGGTGCAGTAGTGTTGTAAGTGCACTGGCACAGTATTATGTATGCCTGTGCCACCCGCTTCAGATAGAGTGTTTCACGTTTCAGTTTCCTATTTTTACAGAGTTTTCTCTTTGGATTTATTTTGCATTTTTAATTGCGTTTTTTTGTGTTTATGTGACGTGTGTATGGGCTCGTTTGCCACAGCATTCATGTGGTTGCTAGAAGACACCATGTAGGGGTTGTCTCATTCTTTCACCAGTTGGTCCTGGAGATCACACTCCGGTTGTCACGCTTGGCAGCACATCTGCTAGCTGAGTATCATCAACCTGTCTTGTATTTTTAATTATCTTAAATATGTTCTGAAGCCTGGTTTGATGATGTGTGCTGCACATCGCACAGGAAGGTGAGGTAGGAGGATCTTAAGTTCCAGATGAACCTAGGCTACCTGCGAGACTCTGGCATTCAGCAACCACTCAGGCAGCCAGCCAGACCTCCCTGACCGACCCCTGACAGTACAGAATTATCTGCAGTGCAGTTCAGCAGTGCCTGCTCTGTCTTACTCCTTTTCTCCAGTATCATCTGAGAAGGATTTGGATTCACTGTTGCTCGTTTTGCTTTGTGAAGGGTATGGGACTATCCTAGCTTCTTATTCCTCCAAGTTTCCACATGGACACAGACTCGTACACAAATAGCATTTATTATTATTTAGTTTTTGAGACAGGGTCTCAGTTTGTAGTTCTAGGTGTACTCACTGGAACTCTCTGGATCCGGCTGGCCTCAGACTCACAGGGATCCACCTGCCTCTGTCTCACCACTGTGCCCAGCCATAGATAGCATTTTGTGGATTATCGTTCAGTTAAAGCCTGAGAAGTAGGGGACTGCCAGAATTGTTGGGTTTATTTTTGAAATCTGTCAGAGTAGCAACATTTCATTCCCTACAGAAGACCTGTATTCCCAATGCTCTCTACAGTACCTCAAAGAATATGAATGTTTAATAAAAAACATCTGCCCACCCCACATCCTGGTACCTAATAGAGACCACATATTCAACTCTTCTCCTTCCCCAAGTCTTTACCAGAGGTGGAGTTGCTCAAGAGCCAAGGTGGCGTAGGGATTGCTCTGTTCCTGTGGTCAGGAGTGTGTCTTCCTTGTCTTTTATGGCTTTTGTTTATTGGAGAAAAAATGATGACGGCGGTGTAGTTGGCATCCGTGGTGTTTCTGTGGAAGAAGTGGTGTTTGAGATTTAGAATACTTAAGCATTTCATCAGTTGGCGTTGACTAATCATCAGTTTGTTCATTCTTTGAATGAACATGTGTGGCGCACTCATTGGCACGATAGCCATCATTTCAGGTGTCTAAAAATAAATATATAAAACGAACAGAAATCCTTTTCTTGGGTTTTCATTTTGGGTATAATGAGTAAGTAAATGATAAAAGGGCAATGCTTCATGGTCCTCAAAATGTGCAGTTAATGGTTTCCTATGTGTGTCTTTTTGGGTCCAGTTTGTAAGTCACAATCAGGACTGTACGGCCCAGCAGGGACAAAGGTGCTGAGGACTAAAGCATCCTGGCTCTGGGGACAGCACCCAACCTTTTCTTTATAAATCCTATGTGACTCTCAGCCCTGTTCATGTTTTCTATTAGGGGTTTGCTTATGGTCATGATAATGAAGTTATTGTTCTTTACATTTTTATCATTTTATAATATGGATCATATTTTCAATTACTGTACCTTTATTTCAGAAACGGCTACCAAGAAGTAGATGCCCAGCTGTAATGGTGAGGAACTAGTCCGTGTGTCATGGACTAAGATGCGGGTTAGCATCCATCTAGGTAAATAAGTGACCACGTCTCTCTCTACTTAACAGTTATCTATGCTGAAAACATTTGATTGGAATGTGAACACTAAAAGAGTCACTTACAGTTTTGGTTTTCTGTGTAGTTCAGACTGGTTCTACAAAACATGTCTGCTGTGTTTTCTTAAAAGAACCGTGCATATAGTATATTGAATTAGAGCTTTAGAAAAACGTATTGAAAAAGAGTTACCTCTGCCCAGTACAGCTTTTCTTACTATTTTTGGATATCTATTTTTCATCCCAGTCTTTGTTCTTGATATTATAAAGATATAGTTTGATCATAGTGTTGTATAGACAGACTGTGCTTATCTGGGTATGGTCCCACATGGCTAAAATCTGAACACTGGAATACCTAAGGCAGGAGGATTGTGTGTCTAAGGCCACCTTGGGTTATGTAGTGAGTTCAAGGCCATCCTGGGATCCAGAGAGACTCCATCTCAAACAAATGACAAAATAAATAAATAAATAAATAAATAAATAAATAAGTAAAGCAGACTTCTCTAAAATTAGATTTATTTTACATACTTCTTTGTTGAATTAAAAACTTGCCCTTCAGTATTTAATTGAAGGTTTCTTATTGGGGTGATAAAATGTTCTACAATTAGATGATCCTAATGATTGTATAATATCATAAGATATAATATTTTATGAGAAAAATGCTTCTGTTGAAATAAGCTAACTTTATAATATTTTTATACCTTAAAAAATTATTCTTCAGAATATGTCTTGGAGAGACAAATGTCACTTGAGTTTCTGGTGTCATAGAATGTGAAAGTGTGTCTCACATTATGTGCCTGAGAAAAATGATTTGATTTCAGTTGATAAATAAGTGGTATTTTTTTTATCTTTTTTTAAAAGATATACTTTTTAAATTTTATGGGCATGAATGTTTTGCCCTCCTGTCTGTATATCACATGCACACCTGGTTTCCTTGGAAGCTAGAGAGGGTGTCAGATCCCCTAGAACTGAAGTTGCAAACGGTTGTGACCTACTGTGTTGGGAATGAAACCCAGGACCTCTGCAGGAGCTGCAAGTGCGCTTAACCACCGAGCCCTCACTCCAGCTCCTTCAGATGGTAGTTTTATAGTCAGAGTGGATTTTATAGTTTTGCTGAAATTACGTTTATTATTAAGAAATTACTGTCTGGGCATCCCAGGACTCATGTGGTAGATGCAGTGGATCTGTGAGTTCAAGGCCAGTCAGGACTACATACAGAGATCTCTCTGAAAAAGAAGTCAATTATAACTGAATTTGATTTTGAAATTTTTCATTTTCAAACTAATTTTTCCCTACCTGATTTTTTTTTAAGGGACAAAATTATATCTGTTTTTCTCAGAAAAGGATTCTAAAAGGTAAGAAATCGTTTATGTGATAGTAAACTAAATGGGAAAGGAAGAGTGCTTTCTACTGAGATATCAGTAATATCGATTACTTTGTTTCTCTTAGATATTATTTAGGTAGTGTGCCTATGTGTGTGGGGGTGCGTGTGTACCAGGAGAGCCTGTGGAGCTGGGAAAACAGCGTGTAAGGTCATTTCTCCGTCCCCATGTGGGTCGGGGACGAGCTAGGTAACCGGGCCTGCTCAGCCCTTTGAGCCATCTCATCGCCCCAGTCTGGTGGTTGTCTTTTGTTTTGTTTTGTTTTTAAGATGGGTTTCTTACTATGTAGCCTTGGCTAGCCTTGAACTTGCTATGTGTATCAGGCTGGCCGATAGTTCACAGAGACCCTCCTCTGCCCTCCTTCCAGCATGGAGATCTAAGGTGTATGCCACCATGCCCTACTGTTTCTGAGGTTTTAAAAACAGGGTCTCATGTAGCCCAGGCTATGTCAGATTCACTGTGTAGCTAGCTAGCTTTGACTTTGGCCTACTGCTTGAATTATGGATGTGTTCCACCATAATAGAGGTGTTAATAGGGTTCCAGACATAATAGATATTTTTTAAAAATTCCTTATGGATCACCTTTCCAATGGATTTTTAACAATAGTTTTTTTTTTGTTTTTTTTTTTTTAAATTTTTTAAGACTTTTTGAAGGTAGACTTCATCAAGTGAATAGAAATTATAATAGTGTTTGTTTGTTTGTTAACTGTGTACCAAGTACTTGGATTCAGTTGCTAGGCAGTTTAAAGTCACCGTGGTCATACTTCCTCAGGAACGTTGGAGGTGGGGAGTAGTGAACACTGTAGATTAACGCCGACACCAACTAAATGCCAATTTTAAAAAACTGTTTGTAATTCTTTATGGGTCACTTTTCCATTGGATTTTTAAGAAAATAGTTTTTAAAATATTCTTTAGACTTTCTAAAGGAAAGCTTTTAAAGTGATGTTTCAGCTCAGTAACCAGTTCCGGTTAAGTGTTCCATTATCACGTGCTGTAGGGACGCACATGCTCTGGAACACCCTTGCCCATTGTCGACACTGCTGCAGTTAACCCTGGTCTTGGGACCTGCCGGCTGAGCCTGAGGGAGCACAGTGCCACAGGGAAGGGCGCAGCAGTCCAGGGTGTTCAAATCCTCCAGGGTGCTGTTCCAGGCATTGGGAGAGTACTTAAGTGGAAATCTAGAATGTTCTTTTCCTAGACTATAGTGCTTAAAGCACATTTTCTGCTTTCTGTTTGTTTGTTTGTTTTTTGAGACAGGGTTTCTATTTGTAGTCCTGGCTGTCCTGGACTCACTATGTAGACCTCAAACCCAGAGATCCATCTTCCTCTGCCTTTCAAGTGCTGAAATTAACAGCTTGCGCCAACTCCTGGTCAAAAATATAAAATTTTAAAAATTTAATCTCACTGTTGTTAGTCTGTTCATCTTTACCATTTTCTTTTGGAAAGTGAAATGTAAATCTTCTGCATTAGTAAAATATATGATCCATAGTGATGATGGACCATAGGGTCTGGTACCTTTAGGGCTCCCAACTAGAGTGGTAAGTGGTTATTTTTGTGACTTCTAATTTGTATTTATTTATTGATACTGAGCATTGAACCTAGGGCCTTGTATGTGGTACTCCTCTTAGTGATCTATGCTTAAATTCTAGTATTTTTACTTTGTGTTTGTGTGTATGCATGCTTGTTGGTACATGTATGCAGATGTACATGTATATGCACATGCATGTCTGTTCATGTGTATGTAGAAGCCAGAGGATAACCTCAGCTGTCATTTTTTTCATTTATCACTTTTTTCTCTGGAGACAGGGTCTCTTACTTGCTTGAAACTTGCCAGCTGGGCTGGACTGGCTGGCCAGCAAGCTCAGGGGATCTTGTCTGGCTCTGTCTCCATAGAGCTGGGATTACAAATGCACATGAGTGCACCCAGCTTCCCCATCTCGGGTCCTCTGCTTGCAAGGCACGCACTTTACTAACTGAACCTCCTCTCCAGCACCCTGATATTTGGTATAAAAAAATAGCACATTATTCTCTCTCTCTCTCTCTCTCTCTCTCTCTCTCTCTCTCTCTCTCACACACACACACACACACACAGTATCACTGCTATGTAGTTAAATGTAGTAAAGGGACAGTGGCAACCTTAAAAAAAATTTAAATACTCTATATAGTATGTATTTTATTTGTTTGTGTAGATTTTTTTGAGAGCCTCTAAGAGCTGCAGGTCTGGCACATCAGCATTTGATATAAGTTCAGGAGTATTGATACCAGAACAGTTTTTGGTCCTGCTCATCACCACTGGTCCATTTAAAGAGCCATCTGTTTTCTCCCATATTGGGTCTCCATATAAGTGGCTTTTAATGTTTGTTGTGCATTAAAAACATATTTTTTTTTTTTAGTTTTTTTTTTTTTTAAAGATTTATTTATTTATTTTATTTATGAGTACACTGTCGCTGGCTGTCTTCGGACACACCTGAAGAGGTCATCCAATCTCATTACGGATGGTTGTGAGCCACCATGTGGTTGCTGGGATTTGAACTCAGGACCTCTGGAAGAGCAGTCAGTGCTCTTAACCGCTGAGCCATCTCTCCAGCCCCCTAAAAACATATTTTTAAATCATAAAATTTTACAAATATTTATTGTATCTGTGTGTAAGTAAATGAATGCATGGCTTCCACTCTCCTCCTGTTCCCTGTGTAAGTCTTATTGATTGATTGATTTACTTTGTGTATATGTGTGGGCATGTGTTCGGTGACCAAAGAAGCATAAGATCTCTAGGACTGGAGTTAAAAAAGTGGCTGTGAGCTGCTGATGTAGGTACTGGAACCAGCCATGGTTGGAAAAGGCTGAAGGTACCTAATTAGGAGGGAAGTTCTTACTTTGAGTCTTAGAGGCTCTGTTTCTGGGTTAGGGAACTGACACAAGGTAGAAAGGAATAGGGAGGTATCTCTATTTGTGTATCTATAATAAAAGCACACCACAGAGTGGGCAGCTTATAAAGAGAAGTCTAGTTCTCACCATTCTGGATGCTGAGAATTCTAAGATAGTGTACTGGCAGGGCCCTTGTCTGCTGAGTGCTGCTTCCTACAGGGAAGAGGAGTGCTGGGGCACGTGAGAGCCTTAATCCACAGAGAGGAGCTGCACTACCTGGCTGCCTCCTCCCTTCTCCCCCACAGCCAGTTGTAGCTCCTCAGCTTTGGAGGGGCATATTCACACTGCAGCAGGAAAGCAGGAGTGCACATTGTCTGAGAAAGCAAAGCAAGGTGGAAGGAAACCTTCTGAAAGTAGTTGGTTGGCTGTTTTTTTTTTTTTTTATAAAAGTTTTGGTGAGAAGACAGAACTTTTGCAGCTGATAATGCTTTTCACATTCCATAGATTGTCGAGTGTTGCCCTTTAAATGTACAACTCAGAATTGAACCAGCGGCACAGTTCTTTTGCGTATCTTTTGTTCCTGAGTCTCCTTATACAGCATACTAATTTCACTATCCTTACCTGGTACACTGCGTGGATAGAACCCTAATGTTTCTGCTTTTACAGATGAAAGCCAGTTTTAGAAAAATGGATTTGAGGGTCTTTCTCCTTACTGTGTGACTGCCCTGTCAGTTAATACTTTGCTGCATGAAAAAGACATAAATAACTTGGTTATAGGTTACGTCTTAGAGAAGTTTGTTTTTGTTATTGATGTATTTTTATTTGTGTGTGTGAGTGTGAGTGTGTGTGTGTGTGTGTGTGTGTGTGTGAGAGAGAGAGAGAGAGAGAGAGAGAGAGAGAGAGAGAGAGAGAGAGGCAGAGAGAGACAGACAGAGAGAGTGTTGGTTCTCTTCTTCCCAAGATCAGGTGAAGGCCTCATGGCAGGCACCTGGACCCATTGAACTATCTTGCCAGCCTCCTAAAGAAGTGCTTTAACCAGAAAGAACCTCATTACATGGACATTTAAAAACCACATGTATACAGCTAAAAAAAAGAGGATGAAAGAGATGAGTGAACAATTTAGTTTTTAGTAGTTTTTAATGTGTTTTTCATTTTATATGTATGAATGTTTTGCCTTCATGAATGTGTGCTGAGTGTACATTTGGTGTCCATGGAGGCCAGAAGTAGGCATTTGATCTTCTAGAACTGGAATTACAGACAGTTGTGGGTCATCATGTAGGTATTGGAAGTTAAGCCTGGGTTCTCTGGAAGAGAAGCCAGTGCCCTTAACTGCTGAGCCATCTCTCCAGCCCCAAATGCTTTTTTTTTATTATTTATTTAAGTATACTTATTTTGATTTCCACTGAAGCAGCATTTATTGAATTAATAGTATTTGGTTTACCTCTATTATATAGAAAAACATTTCTTTAATGTTTCCAATTTATCACAAATACCACAAACTTTCAGTTTAGAGTATTCTAAAGGTTAGGTGTCTGCTTTTGTTGGGTAGGATATTTTAAATGCCTTTGTGGGTTATGTAATGAACCATTTGATTGACTATATTTCAGAGTGTCACAATTTTCCCTGCCGGTTTTATACTATGGAAATCATGTGTAATACATTGTAAAAATCTTCCTTTTATTCTGAAAGTCTCAGTTTGCTTCAGACCTAGATATAGGCAGAGATGAAGATAGGTATTTGAGTAGTTCGTGTTACCTGTCAGTCTAGGTCTTAGGTCTTCAGATGCGCATATTACTTGATTTTATTTGAACATCTGGAAACATTAAGAAACTGTCCATATAGGTGGTAAAATATGATAGTCCACTGGTTAAGTTCTTGTGGAAGTTGAAGTTTAGCAGCTCCGTGGTGTTGGAAGTCCACACAGGGTCTCTCACTTGCTAGGAAAGTGCTTTCTGTGGGCTTTGTGTCTGGGAGTCAGAGATAGACTGTGATATTGAAAAGTTAGTGCTTTCTAATTCAGATCCTTTGTCCTAGATCAAGGCTTCAGGTGTTATATTTAACTGAAACTGAACTTTATTTTTGAAACTTGAGAGTTTTAAATTTTAATAA